AATCATCATCTTAAAATCTTGCATTTCCAATAAAATTTTCCAAGAGCCGAGGGTGGAGGTTATATGTTGAAAACATATAAATGTTTAGTCTTTAAGAATTAAAAAGAATATTCCTCGTTAACAAGCCGTCTTAGCTCAGCCGGTAGAGCGCATGGCTTTTAACCATGTGGTCGTGGGTTCGATTCCCACAGACGGCGTTTTACCTTTTTTTAAAAATTAAGCAACAGCAGTTGCCAGTTGGCCATCTATTCAATACCCTTTTTTTTTTCCTTTTTTTTTTCAAATGGAAAATGGCTTTAAAACGAGAAATGGATGACTCAAAAGTACAAAAGAGGACCCACCACGGCACCACCCTTGAAATGAAAGCTTGAAAAGACACAACTCTGGAAGGGGTATATACCAATATACGGACGTCACTATTTAATGCAGTATTTTGATTAGTTTATCAACTTTATTTGGTATGGTTGTTAAACGGTTAAACTCTTAATTTCAGCTTTTAATTATTATATCAACTTTTGATTTGCTCAAGTAAAAGAGTTTTTTATTGGATTTTTATTATTTATTAATTTAATTTTAAGTTAATTTTTCTTACAAAAATAACTAATGTTTTTTATTTATTATTAATATTACACAAGATCGTTAATAATTTTTTTATCGTTATATAATGAATATATCAATTATTTTTTAATAAACTAAATAAATAAATAATAAGAATCAAATTAAAGATTTTTTTCTATTTAGGAATGAAATTAAGAGTTTATATAATAGTTGAGGGATCAAAATGAGGTTTAAGCTTGTTAAAAATAATTGATAAAACATAAAATAATTGATATTGATTATTTAAAAGTAAGGGTATTTGTAATGTGAATTAGATTCAATTTTTGTTTTTTACGGGAATTAAATCAGATTTTAATATTTTTAAAATTAATTAAGTTTTTAAATCAATTTAATTTACTATTATATTGTTATCAAATTAATAAAATTTAAATTAGAACCATGTGATTCAGCTAGGTTGATTGATTTTTAATACAATTTTAAATATATTTAATTGGATAAAAAAATCAAAATATCAAACTATAAAAAATATAA